GGGGACCAGCATTTTTATACCTACTACCCTAACTTGTGCACTGTTCACTTTAAAAATTAATATAAAATCTCCTAATTAATTTTTTGAACTAAAATTTCTGGAGAACACCTATCAATGCTCCTAGAAGTGCTTGAGAGTGTGATATTTCTGGAACCATTCCCCTTTGTGAAGTGGCATTACACAAAACTTGCAAATGTAGACATACTTTTTTTTGTGAACTGTGCAAACATGGCATTGCCTAGAAGGATTCTTCCCCTTGGAATGTTCACTCTTCACTATTTTCATGAGGGTATTTTTCGGCATATCACCCGCTAGTCAACCTGGGGAGTCCACATGAGGCCTTCGTGGGGTGGGAGTTGATGGACCCGGTTGTACTAAGCCTTTGTGTGACCCTGGTTCTGCCGCCACCATCTGGACTGTAGCCCAGGCCTTTGCCACATTCATCAGAAATGCTTTGTATTTCAATTTTGAATCAGGGTTTAGAATTTTTTTAGATTTTTTGCTGTCCCCGCAATGTTACTACGCACAATGTTATTACCCTCATTATCGTCAGAGCTACTGTCACTTTTACTGTCTGTGGCCACAATTCTTTTTTGTCCACTGTCACTGTCGCTGTCTGAATGACAATTAATCCATTAGTACGAGTCTCACAAGGCAGGTCACCTAGGTCATAGGAAGAGAATTTGTCCTCGATCCATTCTCCCCACTAGCTACTGGCTGATACACACAGCTTGAAGAAGGCAAAGCATTTTCCTTTATAGCCAGTTAAGTAAACAGCAAGGTCGAGTTACTGACAGCTAACTAAACATTCCAGAGTCCTATCACGCATNTCACTGTCGCTGTCTGAATGACAATTAATCCATTACTACGCGTCTCACAAGGCAGGTCAGCTAGGTCATCGAAGGAGAATTTGTCCTTGATCCATTCTCCCCATAAGCTACTGGCTGATACACACAGCTTGAAGAAGGCAAAGCATTTTCCTTTATAGCCAGTTAAGTAAACAGCAAGGTCGAGTTACTGACAGCTAACTAAACATTCCAGAGTCCTATCACGCATCTGCAGGCGGCTGCATGCAATGTAGGTGGCGCCAGAGCAATGTATAGTGTGTTGCAACTTATCATGTTCTAAAAACATATTAATATGCGACCGGTCCGCCACGTTTAAAAGCGAAAAACGTATTAATGCGTGCGCGGTCTGCAAAGTGTTGACAAATCAAGGATTAAAACAGGGAGATAGTTTGGCACCATCACTATTTAATTTGGTATTGGAATATATAGTGAGGAAATGTAATGTAGACACAAGGAACACAACAGCAAATAAACAAACACAAATAATAGCGGCCTCCATAGTCTACAGGTAATATTCCCACCTCATGACTCGTGGTATGCGGGTTCAAATACCCGGCGGAGGTCGTCGAATTTTTAAGGGCGGAAAAATTCAGGGAACAAGTCCTCCGGGAGGGACTTCAAGCTGTGTGTCCCGTGTCGTAACTTTAAGGCACGTAAAATAATCTCATATCCCCAAAGGGGATCACTGAGCCAAATCCAGGACGTTTCCCGCCCAACAATAGTCTCTAAGGCCTCTTGATAGATGGGGGAAGTATACAGATACCGCTAAGCAAATGGCCGAACTCACTTGCTCGGCGGGACTGATGGTACGCACCATTTATCGGTAGGGTATAGAGACTGGTAGAATATCATAGAGGGAAGCACAATAGATCAAACTGGTCGCGGTGCATGGGGAAACCCACCCTCTCTAAATAACTAACTAACACAAATAATGGCATATGCGGATGATATTATTATAGTATCGAGATCCCTAAGAGCAATGAAGGAGACATATAAAGAAATAAATATCATAGCAAAAACAACTGGCTTAGAGGTGAACGTAAATAAAACTAAAATGCTGATACAATCTAGAAGGAATCCAAGGCAAACTGGAGAAATTAAAATGGAAGGGGACAGGATAGAAATAGTTGAAGACTTCATATATTTAGGATCGAAATTCCACAAAGATGGAGAGGAAAATCATGAAATAACAAGAAGAATATAACTAGCAAATAATGCATATTTCTCGTTACAATCAGTTTTTAGATCAAAGGATATACACCGAGCAATTAAAACAAAAATATATAAAACAATGATAAGACCAGTGCTTTATTATGGATGTGAGGGTTGGACGCTAACGAAAGAGGAATCAGTCATCAGTTCATTCAAGAGGAAAATCCTAAGATGAATTTATGGACCAATAAAAGAGAATGGGATATGGAGAATAAGATATAATAGTTACACAAATTATATAAGGAGCCAGAGATCTGTGATGATAAAGCTTAAAAGATTGCAATGGGCTGGGCATGTACAGAGAATGGACAAGGAGTGTATCCCAAAGAAAACATTATATAGTATAATAGGTGGTAGGAACATGCTGGAAAACCAAGAACTAGATGGACTGATGCGGTGGAAGAAGATGCGATGAAGTTAAGCAGTGTAAGGCACTGGAAGAGAGCAGCGCAGGATAGAGAGGAATGGAGGGGCTTCATAAGGGAGGCCAAGGACTGACATCGGGCTGTTGCACCATAGAAGAAGAAGTAGAAGATGTAATTTGCAAACAAGCCATATTAACTTTTGTTACAGCACACATTTTAACCCCTCAAGCTGAACTGATGTGAACATCTACATCTATAAGTTTTACACTGCTACAGCAGTCTGCTGCATCCCTACTACACATCCACCATAGCCCTGCAAGAAAGTGCAGTGTGCTGCCATCTATCAACAGTCTATCAAAACTTTTATACTGCATTAGTATTCAGAGGCTCTGATGATTACTTTCTTCTGGTCATTGACAGTGAAACCAGAACTCAGGGTTTCATGAAGAAGTGATGAGAACTGCAAATACAGAGGTAGGTATGCAAGTATTTTGGTATTTATCCTGGTTCACGTAATTCTCTTTCCAAAAGAACTTGCAACTGTTGCTACAGTGCAGATTCAAACACTGGATACAACAGGATTCCCTTGGATATTTAACTACTGGCTTGTGGGTTAATGTATAAATTTCCCAAGTCCATTGGGACAAAATGGCATTTCCCTTTTGTGTAGACCAAATTCAAACAGAAACAATCAGCAATGAATTCTAAAGGTGACAACGTACCATCTGAAAGTGAATACTATTGAGAACTCATTACTGAGTACAACTGCTTCAACTGCATGTTTTCTATGAGGAACTTGTAAATCTGATTATTAAATAAAATAATTGTAATCTGTCCATGTGAAGAGCCATGCACTGCACGTAGATAACTGCTCATGCTTTGTGCTTCCACTTTAAAAGCAGAATTTGAAACACATTAATTCTGCCTGCATATACTTCAAGATAAAGGCCTAAGCTACCATCTGGTGTATCAATAGGATTTATTAATTTTTCTTGAGGGAAATGATTTTAGACATACAAACTGTAAATCAACTGTTAGTAGGAATTTCATCAGCTAGCAAATTTCTATCAAATGCACACATTAAAGATATTCTGAGTTTTTCCTTATTCTTATAATGGTAAGTCTATTTCACATAAGGAAATAACATCATGAAAAGTTAAGCAGTTCCGTCTGGTGTGATTGATGAAGATATTTCTTATTTCAATTATTTATGCCTTTACATGTTTCGGTCTTCAGGGACCATCATCAGAGGGACACCTTTTACATCAATATGGCTGGAAGCGAATATTACATTACATTTTTTTTATTGGAATTTATGAACAGCAACACAGCGTGCCACAAACACATACATGAAAATACCAAAGAACCCTCTTCTCGAGAATGGCAAGGTGGCACAAGTTCGGGCCCCATCAAGAGAAATAAGAAGAAAGACAACATGAACCTACTTGTAAGTTTTGAGGTTTTCACGGCGATGACTATGAAGAAAGTCGTCTTCTGGGTTTTGGCGCCGTGTATTCTTCGCTTTGGCTGACGTTTCGGAGGAACGTATCGCCTCCATCTTCAGAGCAGGTGAATGGCTGCATGTCATGTCATTGACGTCAGTAGCCTGTCCCCAGCCAACCGGTTCTTCTTGTCTAACCGCAACCTCCAAGTGCTATTGACCTCCAGTTTCCTGGATTCACTGGCCATCCCCCCACCCCTTAGCACCAACACCATATATGGCCTTAATCGCTCTCCACTGCTCCTATTGGTCTGCTCTTCCTAACCATGCCCCCTGCCTACTTCCTATATAAAGCAGCGCCTTTCACTTCCTAATCATTACAGTTACTGCTTTCTGCATTCACAAGCCATTCACCTGCTCTGAAGATGGAGGCGATACGTTCCTCCAAAACGTCAGCCAAAACGAAGAATACACGGCGCCAAACCCCAGAAGACGACTTTCTTCACGAACCTGCTTGGTTTATATATTCCAATAAAATATTTTAACAAACCAGTTACAAATATTTTAATGTACTGGAACAGCCGCCGTAGTTGTAAAAACTTTAGATTTTATAACCAACTGTATGTTATTAATATTATGCGTATATATTTAGGCATTCAGAACGTGTATTGTAATAGTTGCTTCCAGCTGTATTGATGTAAAGGGTGTCCCTCTAATGATGGTCTCTGAAGACCGAAACATGCAAGGGCATAAATAATTAAAATAAGAAAAATCTTCACCACTCACACTAGACGTAACTGTTTTACTTTTCATGATATTGTTAGTGTGAGGGACCAGAATGAAACAAATCAAATTCAAGGAAATAACAGTTATTACTAGTTCAGGAGCCACTGCAATTCCATATGTCTGAATTTAAATTCCCAGTGGAAACTCATTCTGAGATTTAAATCTCCCGACACAGAAGTGTTAATAAGTGTGCACTTACATGATGATGATAATGTTCCTATGCTCACATGACATGCTATATTGATGTATGGAAAGCAAAAGTATTTATTTATTTATATATTTATATATATATATAGAGAGAGAGAGACTATACCCCTGTTAAAATATTTACAAATTCACATTACTAACTTGTGTATTCTGGAAGTAATGTCGCCACAGAGGTCGAATTTTATCCTGACCGCCCACGTCCCATACCGTAAAGCTGATGTTCTTGTACTCCACAGTTTCAACATTGAATCCTACAACACAACATACTACATGTAACCCTTAATAACAATAACTTATCAACTATGTAACTTCATTTTGGAAAAATTTCACACCCAACTACTTTGAACAATTGGCTCAATGAACAGTGTCCATAATTATTCAAAATCGTAAGCCACGTTGTGATTTAGCATACTTCTAATATTTTCATGTTTAAAGAACTATTATGTATCCACTTACCAATAGTTGGGATTGTAGTAACTATTTCACCTAGCTTCAGTTTATATAAAATTGTTGTCTTTCCTGCTGCATCTAACCCCACCATCAATATCCTCATCTCTTTCTTGCCAAATAGGCCTTTGAAGAGATTTGCAAACACATTCCCCATGTTGGCAGTTTACTACAATACCTAGAAAAAACGAAACAGTTAAATACTGATACAAAAAACTCTTCATTTTCTTCAACATATGGTGTACAGCAACCACGCTTTCTGAAATCCCACATTATTGCGAGATAACTTTGTCTACTGGAATAGGGTTAAACCCTATTGATTCAGCCACTAGTGGCATTGTCTGGATCAAAATCAACTGCCGGTCGACTTTAAGTCTTCGAATCTAAAAACGTTCTTTAATGCCAAAAATTAGTATCAAGTGAAACACGACCTCCTCTTGTCTGGCGTAATATAAAGCAACAAACAACTCAATACACGTTTTCTTTAACTTAAAATAAAGTCAAGCCTTTCCGTTTGTCACCTTGGCTCTCCTCCCAACGTAAGGGGATGAGTCATATTTACGATACAAAACTACATAAAACATACCTCAATATAACACGATTTAATTGCCAATATTTTTAAGGTAGGTAAACCTACTGAAACTTACGTTCCGAGATTAAAAAGGTAGATTTCTTCACAAAACGCTAACACATTAACTATCCGCTCCTACCTAACACTATATGTCAAAATGGCGGATGTGGAAGAGGATTCGTACTTCATGCCACGTATAGGGGTCCAACAATTGATGCAATTGGTAGACCATTCGACACGTGATCACAGTATTTCGAAATGGTTATGACACATAGCCACGTAACGGATGTGTAAACGTTTGCCATGGGTCATAGTCACTTCCGAGATGGGACAAGTCAATGTACCTACACACAGTCACGTGTTTAGTGACTATGGACGGGGGTTGGATTGGAAATTGGATTTATTGCGCACTTATATCTCGGAATTACAAGTAACTGTATCGCTGCCCAACTTACTATAACCCACACTAGATTTCTCAAATTGTTACACCCGCCACTATCATCTTGGTATACATTTCGTTAAGTTCTCCATTCTGTGTTAGTCCAAGCAAAATAAAATATCCATGTGATGTAAAATGAAAAATCATGGACACACATGTTGAATTTCAGGTTTTCACAGTGGTGACTATAAAAAATTATCCTAGCTGCCTGCAACATGCTGGTTTTTTACTTGGCTTATTTTTATAGCCAGAAGGTATATTCCTCCAAAATGTCATATCTTTCCTTGGTCTACACAGCCATTGCATCCCAGAAGACAACTTTACAGATCACCTATTCCTGTAAAACAAATTCTGCATTCTACAACGGAAATATCTGAAATGCTGGATGAGGGGTTACGCTTTGCTTGACTTCTATCTTTATATCTATATAATACTGATTTATGCATGGAAAAACAAAAAGAATAACTGCTTTCACTCAACCGGAATCAATCTTTTACATTTGTTTCCACAACTTTGAGGAGCAACTATTAAATTCTTTCTAGCATCATGTATGCATTTAAGAACTTGAGAACTGTTCTGTGGATTTCCATGAAATTTAAAATTGGAGAGTTCTAATAAAATTTGTTAACATATTCCAAGTTTGGTTAAAATCAGATAAAAACAACGAACACTTTATGTGAAGACATATGTTTCTGCACATATCTAGTGCATAACTCAATGGTATTTTTTAGAGTGGTAAGTGTTTTAAGTAAGACTTGTAGAAAGAAATGAAACAGGCCACAGTTTAGTCTAATGCAGCCAGAACATTTTCTTACCAACTTATGTTTAAGCCTTTTAGGATTATTTTTACCAACTGTCCTGGAGTGTTTAGGACATAATTCTTTTTAATATTTTAAATTATTATTAATTATAAACTTCTTTTATTATTTTATTCTCCCTGAACTTCAGTTTCTTCTTAAGAATTTGTTTTTTTTTGGGGGGGGGGCAGATGCCTGATTTGCTTCCCCTTCCCCCACAGGATGTTTTAATCATTACCATTTTCTTTCCTGATTTTAGTTATGAATAGAGAAAGAATATCAATAAACGTTACAGAATGGGTGAAAATAGATCTACCATTGTACACAAAAGATGTGCAGTTACATAAACTACTTCAGTTCTTGCAATTGACTTCTAAAACAATATTTGGATTTCAATGATAGGTCCTTATATGTAATAAAACATATTTCATTTAAAGGCACTGGGAATACGTTACAATATTCTGTTACTGTGGTCTCCTCATTAACTTATGCTTAAATCTTTTTAAGGAATGTTGAACTTGTTACACCACACCCAGTCATATATAAGGTTAAAAAGAAGGTAAAGCTATCCCTGTAACAGGTATAGGGTTGTGAGAGGTCAAGGCTCCCACATTTTCTAGACAATCAGCTCACAGATGTGGTAAGTTTATCAGCCTAACATGTCAGCCTCCCTTTACCCCCTAGGAAGATTCCTGGTACTCATTTCTATTAGAGGCTGAGTCAACTCCAGGGCCATAATGTGGCTAGAAGGATTAGGTCAATTAAAATCTCCACCTCATCAGAACTCGATCCCATGANGAATGTTGAACTTGTTACACCACACCCAGTCATATATAAGGTTAAAAAGAAGGTAAAGCTATCCCTGTAACAGGTATAGGGTTGTGAGAGGTCAAGGCTCCCACATTTTCTAGACAATCAGCTCACAGATGTGGTAAGTTTATCAGCCTAACATGTCAGCCTCCCTTTACCCCCTAGGAAGATTCCTGGTACTCATTTCTATTAGAGGCTGAGTCAACTCCAGGGCCATAATGTGGCTAGAAGGATTAGGTCAATTAAAATCTCCACCTCATCAGAACTCGATCCCATGACCTTCCGGCTTGTAGCATAGTGCCTCGAGCAACTATGCTACCACACCCCATCATATATATGCTTTATCAACAGTGAAATCCCTTAGTATGTGATTTTATTGTACATTATCAAATATGTAAATTTGAGTTTGATTTTACTTTAATCACCATTTATGTTCAATTTCTTTCCTGCTATTAACCTCAGTGTGTCCATTTAGATAATCACTAGTGAAACAAAAAATGTTATTCAAACATTAAACAGGGTGACAAAATTTTGGATATAAAAATTGGTACATTAAAAAGATGAAAGTCTTTGAGGGTCTTTGGTCCATCCAAGCATTGTATGAAACTGTTCTGTAAGCCAAAGATACTGACCTAATTTGATGGAAGTTAATTCAGTTTGAGTGTTCACTTTCATGTAGGTAGTAAGAAATACAATTTTCTGTCAGTGGTGCAGATGTGGTAATTTAGTGCCATATTCACACAATCTCAGTCTGATATATCAGCAGGATGCCAATATTGCAGCCAAGCTTTGCAAGAAGCTTATGTTATGCCCCCTCATTTTGTTTGGAAGTTCCTTCCAACACAAACTGGAATAACAGACATACAAAAAAAAACTCCATTATTTTAGTCCGCGATCGAATTATACTGACCAAGCAACTGCCGCTTGTTGGCAGAGTTTATAACAGACATACAATTATAGAATGTTATCACAAATTAAATTCCATCTGATGCCAACCTCAAGAATGTGGACTATACCTCCATGCCCCCACACATCTTCATGGCGTGGTGCTTAATTAAGAAAGGATGGGGAAAATTTTACCTTACCAAACTGAATTAAGATTCTCATGAGGGTTGATACTTTGAGCTAGATGAAAACTATACTAATAATGAAATTATTTCCAGTGGATTAGTTACTTCATGACACTCTCCACAGCTTAGATGATTAATGATTAAATGATTAGTGCATTTGCATGAAGGGTCTGACTGAAACAAAAAACCTCAGCATTTTCTGGGCCAAAATTGATCCCAGGACTTCCCAAACAAAAAACAGGCATACTAATACTTCACTGAGATGTCAGTTATAGTAATACCAGTGGTATAATTTTGATGACTCAGCAAACAATGCAGACCTGGAAACACATTTCAGCTTTGCTTCAAGGAAGTATTAGTTTGCTCTATATTAGTAAATAACAACCCACAGCAGTGCCAGACTTTGTTCTTTTTTTTAGCATGCAATCTTTGGGTAGCAGTGGTGCTTAAAGCACATATTTAAGTATCATTCTTTAGATGAAATTGATGGCAGAGACAATTAAAGTGTGACCATATTTCTGAATTAATGAAGACAATGTGGTTTTGAAATTCAGTGTGGTTGCAACCTTTACATTTTCTGCTGAAGTAATTTGTTCTCAATGGAACTTCCAACCACATAGTTGTTGCTCTATTTTACTGTTCATGCCTACCTTCCGCATCCCTGGTCGTGGGAACATAGCCAGTGAAACTCTGATATCTGCAAAACTATTAGAGGAGAAATCCTGTTTAGAAACAATTTATGCAGAATCAACTGGCAGCTCAACCAATCAGCAATGGATATTCTAACAGTATTATATCTCAATGGGAATGAAAATGTGTAGCCAGAAATCAATTAGTGTGATATTTTTAATATTTGTGAAAAATTTATATCTAAACCAACTGATTCACTCACTCACTCATTCATGGAGCTGAGCCCTTCTTGAGAAGCTACCAACTGTGCAGCTACTCAAGACTACTTTCCAGTATTTTATGGAACCCAAAGGTTCATTATTGTGTTCACAAGAGCCCTGCACTGGTCCCTATCCTGAGCCAGATCAATCCAATCCATACCATTCTATCTCTCTAAGATCCATTTTAATATTGTCCACCCACCTACACCTTGGTCTTCCCAGTGGTCTCTTTCCTTCTGGCTTTTCCAACGATATCCTATACACATTCCTCTTCTCCACCATTCATTCTACATGCCCTGCCCATCTCATCCTCTTTGACTTATTAATTACACCTGGAGAAGAGTACAAGTTATGAAGTTCCTCATTATGAACTTTTCTCCAACCTCCTTTCACTTCATCTCTTCAGTCCAAATATTCTCCTTAATACCCCGTTCTCATACACCCTCAGTCTATGTTCCTCCCTTAATGTCCGAGACAAAGTTTCTAACCCATACAGAACCACAGGTAAATTATAGTTTTGTATAGTCTAATTTCTATGTTTATAGACAGCAGACAAGAAGACAAAAGGTTCTGGACTGAATGGGAGCAAGCAATACTCAAATTCATCGCCTCTTAATTTCCTCCTGAATCAGGTTTTGATTTGTTATGGTCATTCCCAAATGAGTGAACTGTGCCATATTTTCAAAACATCTGTTACCTATCTTTGTCTTGATTTTGCCCTGCATTTTTGTGACAAGATAGCAACATATACTCAGTTTTCTCTGTGATTATTTCTAGACAAACCTCCTTACTAGGGCCAATTAAAGTTTGTGTGTTTCTCTTTATGGTATCTACATTATCACCCAGTAGATTCACATCATTTGCAGAGACCAGAAGCTGAAGTGTCCCATATAATTTCAGTCCCACCTGGTTTTCCTGGACCTTCCTAATGGCATATTCTAAAGTAAAGTTGAAAAGCAGTGGTGATAAAGCTTCTCCTTGTTTTAGACCATTCTGAAAACGAAAATTATCAGACAAACGTTCACCTATATGGAATTTACCATACGTTTCGTTTAAACATATTTTAATCAGCCTAACTACTTTCATGGGTACACCAAACTCTATCGGAATATTTTACAATACTTCCCTCCTAACAGAATCATAGGCTTCCTTGAAGTCTACGAATTGCTGATGTACT